ACATCCTGGGTTTGAATCCCAATCGTGGGTGTTCTTGTAGAAAGACTGCATGCTGTCCTTAATGCATAAACAGATTCTCTTTGGCTTGTTACAACTGTCCACAAACAGAACTGTTGGGCAGTGGTGTCAAAAGTACACACATCTGTTACTTAAGTAGAGGTATAGATACTGCAGTTTAAAAATACTCTGGTAAAAGTTAAAGTATCAACTTGACTTCTTTACTCAAGTAAAAGTGAAAAAGTATGTGCTCCAAAAATTACTTGAAGTATAAAAGTATAAAGGCGATACGCTCTCGCCTGTGTCCGACCTTTCAGACATTTCAGCATCTTTTTCTGAATCCTACATTGTAGCATGGCATATAGACAATTCACATTTGCAGTTTGAAGAACACCTGCTTGCTTCTGATGATTTCCTTTAGCTAACCAATGAGTGTTTGCGTTACATGACTCCAATCCAATTACACTAGTTTTCACTAGATGTGGATGGCGCCAATGATCTGCATTGGATGGAGCACATGACGTAAAATAAATATTTATAAACATTAAACTGAAGCCAAGAGCAACGAGTAACGTTTGTTTTAAAAATGTAAGGAATAATTAAATAATCATTAAATTTATTGCTTATAATCTCCTAGAAATCTATTTTGGACAAGGACTGCTAAATGAAAAGTACCCAGACGGGCAGTAGTTCATCTAAACTACAGAAAAATAACATATTCTGGTTTGTTAGCACAGGGCAAAAACCCAGTATCTGATCTGTTATATTTTCCAGCAATAGAGAGAAATTTTTTGTGGATTGTATTTTTTTTTTGTTTTGTTTTTTTATTAACATTTAATTTTTTTATCTTTATTCTCAGGTGGTCTGTTGGAAGTTCTTTTTCCAATACATGCTATAAAGTTCTAGATTTCTCATTATTTGTGGGTCAGATACAATTCAATTTAGATCAGGTTAGAAATACTTGTTAAGCACTACACTCTAAATTGCCCTTTAGCTGGAGGGTCTGCTCCACTTTTACTCTAATAAAAAGGTGTACTTAAAACATTCTGATGAAAACAACTCAAACTCAAAGAACATAAAAGAGAAAACAATCTTGAGTAAGAAATTAATTTAATATCTTACTTGTTTCGGGCTTTATTTGGATGAGTTTTTAAAATTTAATAGATGATGGGTTCTAGTGTGAGCTACCAGAATTAATAAAGACTGGATAGGAGAACAACTGAAATAAAGTTTGGTTTTAAAGCACATTTTGTGATGAATAAACTTTGCTTAATATAGATATTTAATCAAATGCATTGTTTAATCACAGCAGGACTTTTATCAGAGAAGGAAGCAGGGAGAACAGATGGCTGCCGTCAGATGCTGGCTTGTTGCTTGGTGACTTTCATTATCATTTTGGTGTTGGGAGTCATAGCCGCTGTGTTTTGTAAGTACTGTTTTATAGAGCAATATCAATTTATCTATGCCATCAATTAACTTTATAAGTTAGACTTAAGTCAGATTGATATTATTTTAAAAACAGATTTGGAACAAAATAAACGTTACATAAATGATGCAAAAAGAAGTTATAAAATGCTTTTATTTATTGAAATGTTTGGATAGACAATGACAGGCAGCTTCTAAAACTCAGAGTCAATCTCTATGAAATTAGATTTCTTTTAAAGGTATTTTTTTATTCTGGTTAAAGCAATAATAGACTTGGCGTTTTGCCAACAAGGTGTTAAAACTAATCTTGAAAAGTTAATAGGTTTTAACATTATCAAGCAAACATTATCAGTAAAACTACTTGATACAAAATTAATTTATTGTGTAGAAGGTCTGAAGGATGGGGGGCGGGAGGGATGCTCTCTTCATACGACGCAGGAAGTGCAGGCGCTGCTGGCCCTTCTTCACCAGTGAGGAGATGTGGGGTGACCAGCTGAGGTTGTCAGTGATGTGCACCCCCAGGAACTTGGTGCTACTGACAACATCCAAAGCTGAGTCGTTGATGAGGAGGGGTGTGTGGGTGGGTCTGGATTTCCTGAAGTTGATGATAATCTCTTTGGCCTTTTGGACGTAAGGATCAGGTTGTTCCCTCTGCACCAGTCCACCAGATGCCGCACCTCCTCACAGTAGGCCGCCTCGTTGTTGTCCCGGATGAGGCTCACTACTGTGGTGTCATTCGCGTACTTCAGGATGTGATTGGACCTGAGGCATGGAAGACAGTCGTGGGTCATCAGGGTGAACAGCAGGGAGCTCAGGACACAGCCCTGGGGGGTGCCGGTGTTCAAGGTGATGACGTCAGAGGTGTTGTTCCCCACTCTGACAGCCTGGGTTCTGTCAGTGACGAAGTCCAGCAGCCAGAGGGGGGTGTTTATTCCTAAGGGGCCCAGTTTGCCTACCAGGTCCTGGGGGATGATCATGTTGAATGCTGAGCTGAAGTCCAGGAACAGCATCCCCACGTGGGTGTTCTTCTCCTCCAGGCGCTCCAGGCTCAGGTGGAGAGCAGTGGAGACTGCATCCTCCGCACTGTGCTTGGACTGGTATGCAAACTTGAACTGGTTGTGTGATGGGGGGAGCGTTGAGATAATGTGGTCCTTAACAAGTCTTTTGAAGCACTTCATGATGGAGGATGTGAGTGCGACCGTGCAGAAGTCGTTAAGGCACGTGATGGTGGTTGGCTTTGGGACCGAAAAGACAGTGGCAGACTTGAAGCACCATGGGACGATGGCCTGGTCCAGGGAGGTGTTGAAGATGTCTGTGAGCCCGTGGGTCAGCTGGTCCAAGCATTTGTTTGATCAGCCGACCTGGAATGTTGTCAGGACCTGCAGCTTTCCGCGCGTTGACCTTCCTCGGAACTTTCCGCACTGCTGATGTTTCCAGTCTGAGCGCCTGTTCGTCTGGGTGTGGTGTCACTTTCCTCGCAGGGTTGGAGTTCAGCTCCTCAAATCTTTCGGAGAAGTTGTTGAGCTCATTGAGGAAGCCAGTGTCGTTCTGG